AAGCTAAAACAGCCTGCCATATGCATGTTTAGTGGTGATCAAGAACAGCTGAAACTAAGTCCGCTTTATTTCTTTCACACTTTAAAGGCCTAAGTATTGTTTCAAAACAGCTTTAAACAAGAAAATAATGATCATATCAATAATGCGAAATTATATCAGATGGACATTATTAAAAGTAGCTGATGGGAAAAAAACTGGTTAGTTTTGCCTAAACATACAGTAGTTAATCTCAGAACCATAATGAAATATAATAATAATAAAGCATATTAAATGCATGTAAATAATAATCCAGATGAACATCTGCTCTCAGGTCTGTTTAAGAACCGCAGGTGTCAGTATTTACCATTCACGTCTTCTTACACCCACAATCACATTATTATTCATTTAGCATATTTTATTTTCTTCCAGGTAATTACTCTTTATTAATCAATATGGCCTCGTGGTCTGTTTTAATAATCACACAGCAGTGAGTTTAGTGTTGGCTTTAGTGACACACGGAGGTTCAAATACAGTGGCTTTTCAGTTCTCTAACATCTGGTCATAAGAAGCTCAATCACTGATGTTAGAGTTTATGACAAAAAACGCCCCCATCATGTTCATACTTTATTTTATTGCAAGTTATTATTTAGCATGAAGCAGGTTTAATGTTCTGAATTGACACTTTTCCTAATTTTATTTTGTCTCAGATATTGAGATAAATTCAATTTTGTGTGCACTTAAAATATGAATAATGTATATAAAAATAAATGACCCAACACAACTTATACATAAAAGAAATGGACGTTCTGTGGTTTCAGACTATCTCTACGAGATGATCAACTCAGTGAGTGAGAATTAAAGTGTTTAGATTTCAATGCAAGAGTCCAATTTGAGTTATAAGAGTTGCACGTCGTCTTCAGAAATGTTTTGAACTCTAATGCATCACTGTCAAGTCAGCTTTATTTCTATAGCGCTTTATATAATAGAGATGGTTTCAAAGCCGCTTTGCAGGAAAATGAAACTGTTGCATGGATTATAAAATGACTTAAATTGCAGCTCTAATGAAGACAATAGTGTAATTATTCTGATGAATTCTGTTCAATGTTTATTCAATTTATTTCAATATCTGTCCAAAGTTCATCAATTATAAAACAAATTCAATTTCAGCTCATAAAGCAGCTCTAATGAAGACTATAGTGTCATTATTCAGATCAACTCTGTTAAAATTTTATTCAATTTAGTTCAATATCTGTCCAAAGTTCATCAATTATTAAACAAATTCAATTTCAGCTTATAAAGCAGCTCTAATGAAAACAATAGTGTGTTTATTCTGATGAATTCTGTTCAATGTTTATTCAATTTAGTTCAAGATCTGTCCAAAGTTGTTCAATTATAAAACAAATTCAATTTTAACTCATAAAGCAGCTCTAATGAAGACAATGGTGTCATTATTCAGATCAACTCTGTTCAATGTTTATTCAATTTAGTTCAATATCTGTCCAAAGTTGTTCAATTATAAAACAAATTCAATTTTAACTCATAAAGCAGCTCTAATGAAGACAATGGTGTCATTATTCAGATCAACTCTGTTCAATGGTTATTCAATGTTTATTCAATTTAGTTCAATATCTGTCCAAAGTTGTTCAATTATAAAACAAATTCAATTGCAGCTGTAAAGCAGCTCTAATGAAGACAATAGTGTCATTATTCTGATGAATTCTGTTCAATGTTTATTCAATTTAGTTTACTAACCGTGTCAATGTTTCATCAGTTATGAAACAACAAGTTCATCTCTTCATGTTTGCAGAAATCCAGACATTTCTCGTAACACACGGCCCAGTTCCAGCCCAGATCCGGTACACATTAAATCCACATGTTCCAGATGTGGGCCGGAACTGGGCCTCGTTTATAACCGTTGCGTCGCACAAAACAGGCCCTGAATGAGCCGAACGCACTTCCCATGCATACGTTGTGATTTATAATAACAACTTGACGGGAAAATATGCGCACCTGCACTTAATCTCTGATCATGCGCACGAACACTGTGGAGACGGAGCAGTTTGGCGACACCGATGGAGATCTGAGGAACTGATGAAGGACAAGCACTTTAAATCTTCATGATGAGTCCTAATCATAAATACAGTGCATGTTCACAATAACAGTTTAAATACATAAAATAATTATTTAAACCATGTTTTACATCTGATATACACATTTAGATTAAATATGCCATTCTCATTAATGGAGTTAAGCACTTAAATTACATTAAATCATTATCGAGAAGTTACAAAAAAAAATTATACTCTAATAAATAGAAATATTTGTAGTGGATGCGATGCTTTTGAACACTTTTCCCATGGCATGCTGTGTTTTAATGTTTGCTTGAGAAAAACTTTCTCTGAAATGTATTTTATACTATTTGCTTTATTTATTAAAAAACAAGGCAAGGATAGATTACTAAATGATTTTTAGAAAGGTAATGTGACGCACATCCGTATCTCATATTTTCCTAATGTCTTCTACCGTTAAACATGGTCTCACGTGGATGAATATGCATATGCAAATGATATGCATGAGGATCTGCATAGTAAAACGAGGCGTTGTAAGCACATATATGGTTATTTCGGGGAGGAGCGTGTGAACACAATCTTCCTCTGACTGGGATTATACACTCACCTAAAGGATTATTAGGAACACCATACTAATACTGTGTTTGACCCCCTTTCGCCTTCAGAACTGCCTTAATTTTACGTAGCATTGATGCAACAAGGCGCTGAAAGCATTCTTTAGAAATGTTGGCCCATATTGATAGGACAGCATCTTGCAGTTGATGGAGATTTGTGGGATGCACATCCAGGGCACGAAGCTCCCGTTCCACCACATCCCAAAGATGCTCTATTGGGTTGAGATCTGGTGACTGTGGAGGCCGTTTTAGTACAGTGAACTCATTGTCATGGTCAAGAAACCAATTTGAAATGATTCGAGCTTTGTGACATGGTGCATTATCCTGCTGGAAGTAGCCATCAGAGGATGGGTACATGGTGGCCATAAAGGGATGGACATGGTCAGAAACAATGCTCAGGTAGGCCGTGGCATTTAAACGATGCCCAATTGGCAATAAGGGGCCTAAAGTGTGCCAAGAAAACATCCCCCACACCATTACACCACCACCACCAGCCTGCACAGTGGTAACAAGGCATGATGGTTCCATGTTCTCATTCTGTTTACGCCAAATTCTGACTCTACCATCTGAATGTCTCAACAGAAATCGAGACTCATCAGACCAGGCAACATTTGTCCAGTCTTCAATTTTCTGTCCAATTTTGGTGAGCTCTTGCAAATTGTAGCCTCTTTTTCCTATTTGTAGTGGAGATGAGTGGTACCCGGTGGGGTCTTCTGCTGTTGTAGCCCATCCGTCTCAAGGTTGTGCGTGTTGTGGCTTCACAAATGCTTTGCTGCATACCTCGGTTGTAACGAGTGGTTATTTCAGTCAAAGTTGCTCTTCTATCAGCTTGAATCAGTCGGCCCATTCTCCTCTGACCTCTGGCATCTACAAGGCATTTTCGCCCACAGGACTGCCGCATACTGGATGTTTTTCCCTTTTCACACCATTCTTTGTAAACCCTAGAAATGGTTGTGCGTGAAAATCCCAGTAACTGAGCAGATTGTGAAATACTCAGACCGGCCCGTCTGGCACCAACAACCATGCCACGCTCAAAATTGCTTAAATCACCTTTCTTTCCCATTCTGACATTCAGTTTGGAGTTCAGGAGATTGTCTTGACCAGGACCACACCCCTAAATGCATTGAAGCAACTGCCATGTGATTGGTTGATTAGATAATTGCATTAATGAGAAATTGAACAGGTATTCCTAATAATCCTTTAGGTGAGTGTAAAGTTGAATTTGTGCAGGTTTGGCGTACACACGCTATTTTTGGCTTTCTGGCGCACGTACACTTTTAGTAAGGATCCTACACACAGTTTTATCAGCCTGATCTCATGAAAATGCGTCTCTATAGTATGCATTGTGTTTATTTTGCAATTTATACGCGAACATTTTTTTTTTACATGCATATAATACGCAGTTTTCGCGTGCATATGATACGCACTTTATTTGTGTAATACACACGCCCCCGCAACACTAATCCTACCCAAACGTATCATATGCACGGAAAAACTAATTTTCGCGTCTAACTTGCACGATAAACACAATGCGCGCTATAGAGACGCATTTAGTGTGACCGGTTGTTTTATAAAGGAGACCCCTGGGCCGACACTGTCTGCGGGAGAGAACATAAGTGTTTCTGAAGAGCATGTCTCACCTGTGTTCATCAGTCTGACTGATCCTCCAGGTATCGTGGCGCTGTGGTCTCTGGCCGTCCTGGCGTTCGAGCGCTTCTTCGTGATCTGTCGCCCCATGGGGAACATCCGTCTGCGGGGCAAACACGCGGCTCTGGGTCTGCTGTTCGTCTGGACCTTCTCCTTCATCTGGACCATCCCACCGGTGCTGGGCTGGAGCAGTTACACCGTCAGCAAGATCGGCACCACCTGCGAACCCAACTGGTGAGGAACCAAAACACCATTCATCACACTGCGGGACTACTTACATGAACTAGTGAAGGGGATTAGCGCACGTAAAACAGCTAAAAATGCTTATACAATAACTACATTAGTTAACATGAACTTACAAACAAAAATTACTTTATTAAAACATATTTAAAATCAAACATTGCATCTGTAAATATTAGGCTACTTAAGGCTGATGCACGATATATCGGCCACCATATCGGCATCGGCTGATAAAATGTAAATTTGTATTGTATTGTCGTTAACCGATAAGAAAATTTTGTCGATATATTAAAGCTGATAAATAATGGATTATTGACTTCAGATGAGACACTTCAGATGCTCAACATGATGGTTTTGAATTGCTTGAAATATGTTTTGAATCACTTCAAAAAGGAAAATAGAGTTCAGTGCAACATGTGCAGCACATATCGGCTACATAACATTATAATGAGAACATTATTATAATTGTGTGATTGGGACATAATTAGACTTTTGTTTTTGAAATCAGGCTCTAAAAAATGATATAAAAATTTGGATTTTGATGTATCGGCTAATATATCGGTTATTGGCATTCAAATATAAAGAATTATCGGTTATCGGTATCAGCCAAAATTTTCATATCGGTGCATCCCAACGTAATGCACTGTGAACTAACAATAAACAATGAATGTATTCTCATTAACATTAACAAAGATTGAAATGAAATGCTGTAAAACACATATTGTTCATGTTAGCTAACTAATGTTAACAAATGAGATCTTATTGTAAAGTGTTACCAATACATTTTGAAATAAAATGTACATGCACACATTATGTCTTACCCAGGAATTCTTTATACATGCGTTTCTAATAAAATTGCGCGATGTGAAAACCATGTTCAAAACACTGCATTTACATGGAGATCATGATAACACTAATAATAATATAATTTGATTTTACAGTTTTTCCCTGTATATAGTACGGGACTTACTGTTAAAGCGTTTTTACAATATTTTACAGTTAAAATTACACTTATTTGTTACAGTGCACTTAATGTTAATGGTGCACTTAACTAATATTAACACCCAGCATGTATATGACCACTGGTCAAGCATGAAAAACGAGATTTATTTTATAATCTCAATTGTTTATTACGGAGAAACTGATCCTAGACCAGCAGTTATGAGCAACTTTTCCCTCTAAAAGAATCAGAAGCAACAGAAAGTGGTTTGAGTGAGAAAATCCACAGTCTTTATCTTCTGTTCATTGGTTATTTTTTAATGAAAATTTTTTTTTTTTGGTTTGTAAAAATGCAATTGTGACCTTTTTTTCACCTTTCAGGTTCAATCTCTGAGGATTTTTCATATGCACATCTTCTAAAATTGTCTAAAAACGTTTCATTTTCAAACAAGGGATTCCACAATATTTGAGTTAAATGAAGAGGAAAAGCTCTCTTGGGTGAAAGTTTGACAAGCTTCATCCATTAAAGCCTAAACCAGCAGGATAATTAACCATCAGATTTATTGTCTCTTCTGTACTAATTAGTCCTTTTATCCAAGCATGTCAGCATTTTTCTGACATGCTAATTCATTTTAATTAATTTTTTGGCCATATGAAATACACACCAGGTTTTCTTATTCATACTCCACATTAGCGTTGTCAGTTCTGTCTTCACTCATCATCATGTGCTTTAATCCAGAGACTAAAAAATAGGCTATATGAAGAAAATACATATCCAGAGTTTTTGCCGTTTTATTGTTCTGGTCAAAAATACAAACATCACACACAAAATCCTTTCAGAGACATTATAAATGTCCATATACATTACCATAAAAAGTTATTTTGTGACGGAAACAAGCTTCAATAGTTATTTATGTTCATAACAAATGTACATGAGTTATTAATGTGAGAAATTTGTTTAAATCATTATCTTGCATTTCAGACTTTAAAACTTGCAATTGCAAGTTTATATCTCAGAATTTTGAGAAATAAAGTCAGAATTGCGATTTCTGAATTTTGAGAAACTCACGATTGTGAGGAAACAAGTTTATATCTCACAATTCTGACTTTTTTCTCAGAATTGCAAGTTTATATCTTGCAATTCAGACTTTATAACTATTAAGAAAAAAGCTATAAACTTGAAATTCTGACATTTTTCTTGCAAATGTGAAAATTCTTAGAATAAAAAATCTAAATTGTGAGAAACTTACGATGCCGAGAAAAAAGTATTTTATTTTGAAAATTATTATATCTCAGAATTCTGACTTTTTTTCTCAGAATTGCAATTCGGACTTTAATTGCAATTGCGAAAATTTTGAATTGTAAAAAAAAAAAAGGTCACAATTGCATTTTTATTTTCTGATTCCGTGGCGGAAACATTTATCCATAAATAACACTTCAGATTTGCAGCACATTAGGGCGAAAACACATAAAATCACCTCAAATCTGTTTCTGGGACAAAAGTTAAACACTACATTATTTATATATATATACAGTATATATTTAAAGTTTCTAGACAGTTTTAAGTGTGGCGCTGTAAATAATAAAAAAGAAAGTTTAAATCTGTTAGTTTTCTCTTCGTCAGATGTTTTGCTTGCGTCCCACCGCAGGTATTCGGGAAACTTCCACGACCACACCTTCATCATCACGTTCTTCATCACCTGCTTCATTCTTCCGCTGGGAGTGATCGTCGTCTGTTACTGCAAACTGATCAGGAAGCTGAGAAAGGTCAGTCGCTCCTCAACATCCGTGTGATTCCCTGAATCCCAATGATCCCAATAAACTATCATTACAACAAACTGACACAGAGCTTAGACGAACCATTACTGATCTGAGTCTGATAACCTGATTCCAGACGACAGGAATGCTCTACAGAACATTCTAGCAAGGTTCTCTCAACGTTATGAACAAACGTTCTTCCATTAACATTCATAGAACGTTAGTTTTAAAGTTATCCGGTCTTTAAAAATGTTCAAATAACAAAAGGCATTATCAGTCATGGAGTGTTTTTTTCTGAAATGTTTCAGTTGGACATTTTTTTAAATGTAACCACTTGTTTCGGAATGTTCTGAGAACATTCTAAAGTAACATTATGTTTGAAGAATGACACAATGCAACGTTCCATTAACGTTCTCATAACCAAGAAAAAACGTTTTGGACTTTTGAACATTCAGGAAACATTCAGAAATAGTGTTTTTAAAACTCAATGAGAACGCTAGCAAAACGTTCTTAGAATATATTTTTGTTTGCTGGGTTATTTGTATATTTGGTTTGAAAAGACACTTAATATATGATTCTCAGTAATATTATTGATTCACTGCACTGACACTATTGGATGAGAACCAAAAAATTGAGCCGAATAATGACACTATTGTCTTATCATCTTGACTTTTCTGCAACATCTACACAGTTATTGAATTGAGCTAAAAACTGACACTATTGTTTTCTATAGAAATCGTCTCATGTTTAATAAAGTTTACATCATTGATCCGGTCATTTTCACTGTTTATCACTGCGTTGAAACGATCTGCATTGAACAAAGCGCTGTAGAACCTGGCTTATATTTCTACATCATCAAATATAGCGATTATTTAGTCACACACATTGCGTGTGTGTGTGTTTGCAGGTGTCCAACACGCACGGCCGGCTGGGTAATGCTAGGAAGCCCGAGCGTCAGGTGACCCGTATGGTGGTGGTGATGATCGTGGCCTTCATGGTGGCCTGGACTCCGTACGCCGCGTTCTCCATCGTGGTCACGGCTCATCCCAGCATCCACCTGGACCCGCGACTGGCTGCCGTTCCCGCGTTCTTCTCCAAAACAGCCGCCGTCTACAACCCGGTCATCTATGTGTTCATGAACAAACAGGTGATTCACTCGTGCAGCCCATCCGGAAACTCAGTGTTTCTGTCCAAATATCGAAACATTCTTACATCAGGAAGCATTTACTAGATAAGCTAAATGACATAAAATTATATCTTGTTTTCCAAAAAAAAAAAAAAAAAAAAAAAAATCCAAATGAAGTGTGTTTTTGCTTAAAATAAGCAAAAGTATCTGCCAATGGTGTAAGAAAAAAAAATCTTAATTCAAATGGAAAACAAGATTATTTTTCTCGTTATACTATATATGCATATATATACTCTACATAATATATGTGTGTGTGTGTGTATAATTATTTTGTATAAAAAATACACATATGCATGTATATATTTAAGAAATATTTGCATGTATATATATATATATATATATATATAAATATAACAGTTTTTCTTAAATATATACATGCATGTAGTGTGTATTTTTTATACAAAATAATTATACACACACACACACATATATTATGTAAACACAAACTTTCATTTAGGATTCTACGGAAGCGTATTGCATTCACTTGAGGAAAAAAAATCTACTCCATTTTTCTGAATTAACGAGTTAATTATCTCAGAATTACGAGATATTTTTTCATGAAAAAAAAGTTTTTGCTCTGTTTTTCTGAATTAACAAGTTAATATCTCAGAATTATGAGATAAATATTTCTTGAAAAACATTTTTTTCACTCTGTTTTTATGAATTAATGAGTTACTCATAATTTTGAGATAATTAAGTCATTAATTCAGAAAAACAGAGCAAAAACTTTTTTTCCATGAAAAATTATCTCAAAATTCTGAGATAATTAACTCGTTAATTCAGAAAAACAGAGTAGATTTTTTTCCTCAACTGAATGCAATTCGCTTCCGTACGATTCATCGTTGCCCATCACTAATTTAAATATCATTTTACTAAGACATAATATTGATATTTATATCATTTTATGTAAGTATTTACTATACTGTTGTAAAGATCTCAGTTATTAACATTACTAGCATCAGAATTTCATCATATGTTTTGTGCATGTGAATATCAGCATCTGCATCTTTGCTCAGTTTGAGTCTTTGAATAAAATTGAGTGTTTTTGTTCCCTTCATATTCTCACTATATCCGACTATATGAGCCTGATTTATCAATAATTTCATATTTTTTTCTGAAGGTTCAATAAACTGTTCAAAATGAGATTTTCCTATTATTTCACATCTTGAGCGTTTGTTAGTTCTTCAGTTTAAAGGAGACTGAGACCGTGTCATAAATGAACCTGATCATCCTGAGCTTGAAGGAGACGGTGGTTTCTTAAGAGAATCAAACCTGACACTGCTGAATATCAGGTTTAGTTTTATAGTTTTCTCCACACATTTAGTTTTTGGGAAGATCCATCTTCATCATCATGTGTTATTAACACATCAGGAGTGACACACACACACACACACACACACACACACACACACACACACACACACACACACACACACACACACACACACACACACACACACACACACACACACACACACACTCTGACTGCTGTAGTTTGTTGTCAGCTTCATCATGAATAATAAATGGATCAATGCAGCGTGAAGCGTTTTTTAAAGCTTTTTTAAAACCTTCATCTTTCTCAAAGCTCTATAAATGAATACATCATTTAATAAGCAGTTCAAACATCTGAAGAATTAAACTTGATCTTTTGATCATAAGAGAAGCTTATAATCCAATACTGAAAGACAGAAGGTGTAAATCTGCATTTGAATCACTTTAATGTTAATTTCCGGTGATATTACATCAACATTAGATATTTGTTGTGCATTTTGTGGATTTGGACCTCAAGCATTTCCAATCAATATGCAATTCAGACAGAAAAACACAATTATACGGTTAAAAAATCAGCTAATTAAACGATAAGAAAACTTTTTAAAGACAATTAATGTGTACTAGTATTATTGATTTATCTGCACTAACAACATCAGATGAGAACTGAACTAGAACTGAATTGATCTGAATAATGACTTAGACTATAAAACGTTGACACAGTTATTGAACTGAACTGAATCAACATCGAACTGAATTGATCTGATCTGTCTTCTGTAGAGCAGCTTTATTAACTGAAATTTAATTTGTTTCATAATAGTTTTTAACTAGTTTTAGTTTTTATTTTAGTTGTATTCTAGTTCTATTAATATTTTAAATTTGCTTTTATATTTTTAATTTTAATGTTAATTTTAGTTACATTTTTTTGTAATTTCTTTGTGCTTTTGTCATTTTATTCGTTTTTTTTTTTATTGTTGCTTTAGGTTTCATTTATTTTTATTACAGTTTTAGTTAATTTTAGTGCTTCAACACTTCCTTATTTTGCCAAGGCGGCATTTCTAGTCGTCATTTAATTTAAGTTTTTCGACTAATATTTATATTTAAATTAATGTCAGCTTTATTTAAATGAACAGAAATGTCTTTAATAGTTGTAGTTTTACCGTATCGTATAAAGCTCTACAGAAATAGATGTGACTGGACTTTAACCGAGCGTTAAATCAAGACGGATGCCGTTGCAAGTGTGCTTTGCTAAACTGTGATTTTGTGAGGATGCTTGTACTTAAATTTTGATCTTAAGGATAATATTGCATGAGGATCTCAAGGCACGGCGGGAAACTTTCCTGCGTCCCAGTTACAAGTAAATAGGTTACAGTAGCTGAGAGACCTTGAAGGAGTCGCCGGACAGAAATAAGTATGAATAGAGTGTATGAATAGAGTGTATGAATAGAGTGTATGAATAGAGTGTATGAATAGTGTATGAATAGAGTATGAATAGAGTGTATGAATAGAGTGTATGAATAGTGTATGAATAGTGTATGAATAGAGTGTATGAATAGAGTATATGAATAGAGTATATGAATAGAGTGTATGAATAGTGTATGAATAGAGTGTATGAATAGAGTGTATGAATAGAGTGTATGAATAGAGTGTATGAATAGAGTGTATGAATAGTGTATGAATAGAGTATATGAATAGAGTGTATGAATAGAGTATATGAATAGAGTGTATGAATAGAGTGTATGAATAGAGTATATGAATAGACTGTATGAATAGAGTGTATGAATAGAGTGTATGAATAGAGTGTATGAATAGAGTATATGAATAGACTGTATGAATAGAGTGTATGAATAGAGTGTATGAATAGAGTATGAATAGAGTGTATAAATAGAGTGTATGAATAGAGTGTATGAATAGAGTGTATGAATAGAGTGTATGAATAGAGTGTATGAATAGAGTGTATGAATAGAGTGTATGAATAGAGTGTATGAATAGAGTGTATGAATAGAGTGTATGAATAGAGTATATGAATAGACTGTATGAATAGAGTGTATGAATAGAGTATATGAATAGAGTATATGAATAGAGTGTATGAATAGAGTATATGAATAGAGTATATGAATAGAGTGTATGAATAGAGTGTATGAATAGAGTGTATGAATAGAGTGTATGAATAGACTGTATGAATAGAGTATATGAATAGAGTGTGAATAGAGTGTATGAATAGTGTATGAATAGAGTATATGAATAGAGTATATGAATAGAGTGTATGAATAGAGTGTATGAATAGAGTGTATGAATAGAGTGTATGAATAGACTGTATGAATAGACTGTATGAATAGAGTATATGAATAGAGTGTATGAATAGAGTGTATGAATAGTGTATGAATAGAGTATATGAATAGAGTATATGAATAGAGTGTATGAATAGAGTGTATGAATAGAGTGTATGAATAGAGTGTATGAATAGACTGTATGAATAGAGTATATGAATAGAGTGTATGAATAGAGTGTATGAATAGTGTATGAATAGAGTGTATGAATAGAGTGTATGAATAGAGTGTATGAATAGAGTGTATGAATAGAGTGTATGAATAGAGTATATGAATAGAGTATATGAATAGAGTGTATGAATAGAGTATATGAATAGAGTATATGAGAATAGAGTGTATGAAGAGTGTATGAATAGAGTGTATGAATAGAGTGTATGAATAGAGTGTATGAATAGAGTGTATGAATAGAGTATATGAATAGAGTATATGAGTGTATGAATAGAGTATATGAATAGAGTATGAATAAAGTATATGAATAGAGTATATGAGAATAGAGTGTATGAATAGAGTGTATGAATAGAGTATATGAATAGAGTATATGAATAGTGTATATGAATAGAGTATATGAATAGAGTATATGAGTGTATGAATAGAGTATATGAATAGAGTATATGAATAGAGTATATGAATAGAGTATATGAGTGTATGAATAGAGTATATGAGTGTATGAATAGAGTATATGAATAGAGTATATGAATAGAGTATATGAGTGTATGAATATAGTATATGAATAGAGAGTATGAATAGAGTATATGAATAGAGTATATGAGTGTATGAATAGAGTATATGAATAGAGTATATGAATAGAGTATATGAGTGTATGAATAGAGTATATGAGTGTATGAATAGAGTATATGAATAGAGTGTATGAATAGAGTATATGAATAGAGAGTATGAATAGAGTATATGAATAGAGTATGAATAGAGTATATGAATAGAGTATGAATAAAGTATATGAATAGAGTATGAATAAAGTATATGAATAGAGTATATGGGTTGCTTGCCCATATACTCTATACATGCACAGGACAGAGTTTATGGATTTGGAAAAATCCTGAAGCTGTCATGGTGGGATGATATGGCTTCACTAGAGCTGACACATTTGACTTATATTACTGAAATAAAAATAAATAAATAAACACCTGCAGTGTGGATCAAACCGGTGCACTCCAAAGCAGAAGATGCTGAATTATTGAACATAGACGTAAACAGTGTTCGGCAGTGCCACATCTGTCCATCATCTCGCTGTCCGCTTACACACTGACACACTCATGTGAAGAGGGCTCCTATGCAGAAACTGCAGAAATAAGAGCACAACAACACAACATTGCTATGATTTGTGTCACAGTGACGGTCATCTATTAGATACATTTACTATTGTCAATCATCAGATGAATATGATTTGATCCATCAGTTTGATTCAGTTCTTCAACGGGTTAAAAAATAGATTAGAATAGATTTAGGTTAACAAATAGATATCTTTTAAGAATGCAATATTAGTACGGGTGTAACGATACCCTCATGTCACGATCCGATACATATCACGATATGTAAATATGCATCACTAAACTCACAATACGATATTATTGCGATACTCCGAGACATATGATAAAACGTAAACAAAAAATGTTCTGTCAATTAAAATGCTAAAGTTAGTATTACAGTGTGTGTGTGTGTGTGTGTGTGTAAATAAATAGGCTTGGACTTGGTGTTAATAACCCAAAGCACAGGACAATAGAGACACCAGAATAACAATATTCATGATTGTGAAGCTGAAAACACAGAATTATTTCAGATGAATATGCTTTCACTGTCACTGACGTATATTTAAAACAATGTTGGCCACTTTTACTCACACTAAAACTCTAAAAACTTTAATTTTTTCTCACACAATCATTTTTATTTTGGGTGAATATGCCCGATATATATTGTCTCTATCCACGATACATATTGTTGCATTTTTGTATTGCGTTATATTGTGACACGATATATCGTTACACCCCTAAATATCAGTAATGCCCAAATGTAATTAATAACTGAGTATACAAACGTTATAAAATGCTCACTGTCTTCACTGAAAAAAGTTTCGTCCTCAGTGATTTTTGTCTTATTTTCACAAAGAAATATCTAAACATTCTTAATTGAGAACCAAGTTAACATATTAAGTCTTGTTTTCTGAAAAATATATATCAAAAAGAACCAAATTATGCTTAAAACAAGACAAAATATCTGCCGGTAGAGATATTTTTTAAAAACTTAATTCAATTTTTTTTGCAGATATTTCTTCTTGTAGCAAAAACTCACTTAATTTTGATACGTCTTTGTCATTTGCTTCTCTAATAAATGTATCTTTAGACACATGTTGTGTTGAAAAACAAGGCAAAAATACTGAGGAAGAAAATAATTTTTTTGCAGAGTGATTTTTTAGTGAATTATTGCATGATAAAATTCAGATTTTGAACCTTCAGCCATGATGTGTCCCATCTAAACCTTCATTCTTAGAACTGAAGAGACACTAAGTGACTTTAGGTCACAAACTAATTAGTGTCTATCGGACTCGGTAGTTTAATGACTAGCTAATGACGAATGAGAGGGGCGATGTGAGCCGCTGGCTAATGTGGAAACAATTAATGATCACTGCAATGATGACCTCATCACGATTGACTAATTGTAGCGTGTTGCAGATGTCAGCCGCCAGAAGCGAAGCGCTCGATGTCACCGCTCGTTTAGTGCCGGGTCGCATTCAGCTGAACTCCTCTGAGCACTGAGACCCAACACTCGGGATTTGGGTGTTTATTTAAAGGAGTAGCTCACTTCAGAATTAAAATTTCCTGATATTTACTCTCCTCCACGTCATCCGAGATGTTCATGTCTTTCTTTCTTCAGTCAAAAAAGACATTAAGGTTTTTGAGGAAAACATTCCAGGATTTTTCTCCATATTTTTTTTTCTTGAAGGTCCAAATGTTTTC